CAAAATAATGGAATCAATTATTAACTGCCAGCTCATGTGGTACCTTGAGGATCACCAGCTGATTAGTGACCGCCAATACGGTTTTCGTCGGGGTCGATCAGCTGGTGATCTTCTGGTCTACCTGACCCATAGATGGGCAGAGGCAGTAGAGTCCAAGGGGGAGGCGTTGGCCGTTAGTTTGGACATTGCGAAGGCCTTCGACCGGGTTTGGCACAAAGCGCTTCTTTCAAGGCTCCCTTCCTATGGGCTTCCCGAGAAATATTGCGATTGCATCACCAGCTTCCTTGCAGATCGGAGCATCAAGGACGTTGTAGACGGTGCATGCTCCGACTACAAGCCTATTAACGCTGGTGTTCCACAAGGCTGTGTGCTATCACCAACGCTGTTTCTTCTGCATATCAATGATATGTTGCTAACTGGTAACATTCATTGCTATGCGGATGACAGCACTGGTGATGCTCTATACACCGGCTGTGCCAATATTTCTCGGGAAAACGGCGCTGAGTACCGGAACAAACTTGTGTCTGAAGTCGAGTCTTTGCTGAACAAAGTCTCGGATTGGGGGTGACTAAATCTAGTCCAGTTTAATCCTCGGAAGACACAAGTTTGCGCGTTTACCGCTAAAAAGAACCCCTTTGTCGTATCTCCTCAGTTTCAAGGCACTCCCCTTCTTGCCTCAGCCAGTATCGGAATCCTCGGAGTCGACATATCGAGTGACGTGCAGTTTCGTGGTCACTAGGAAGAGAAGGCGAAATTGGCCTCTAAAAAGCTTGCCGTGCTCAGCAGATCGGAACAGTATTTCATGCCGGCACACCGCCTGCAACTTTACAAGGCGCAGGTTCGGCCTCACATGGAATACTGTTCCCATCTCTGCGCAGGGGCTCCCCAGAGCCAGCTCCTTCCACTTGACCGCACCCAGCGCAGGGCGGCTCGGATCGTCAACGACCGAGTCCTTTCCGATCGGCTCGATTCATTGGCACTGCGAAGAGATTTCGCATCTACCACGGGGAGTGCTCTGAGGAATTGTTCGGATTAATCCCAGCCGCCAAATTTCACGAATGCACATCGCGGCAGAACTCCCGATACCATCCACACCATCTGGATGATTGGCGGTCCACTACTGTGCGATTTAGAAGATGTTTTCTTCCTCGCACGACTTCATTGTGGAATCGATTACCATCAGCGATTTTTCCGGACCGATACGACTTAGGGACCTTCAAGAAAAGAGCGTACTCCTTTTTAAAAGGCCGGCAACGCATCTGCGATTCCCTCCCTGGTGTTGCGGTTGTTCATGGGCGGCGGTAGTCACTTACCATCAGGTGAGCCGCATGCTCGTTTGTCCCCTCTCCTATTAAAAAAAAAAGATGATTGCCTGTTTTGATTCAGTGATGAGACAGCACGTTAGCCGAGTGTGTAACTCCCAAACAAAATGTGTTAAAATGACTCATTATTTAGGCGTGCAAATACAGAATGAAATAATTGAATTATTGTCGTCTAAAGTAAGAAATAATATTTTAGAAATGGTTCGTAGTTCCAGATATATTTCAATAATATTAGATTGTACACCAGACACTAGTCATACTGAGCAAATCAGTCTTGTTCTGAGGTATGTTGTCCTTAACACAACTTCAAAAAAGGTTGAAGTTAAGGAAAGTTTTATTGCGAATATTGGACTCTACAGGGAAAGAGGTATATAAATTTGAGACGTAAATTTTGAAAAAATTAATTTTGTTTTGATAATTGGTTTTGATAATGGGGCAAACATGAAGGGACAGCATGTTGGGCTTCAAAAACGCATTCTTGACGCGAATCCGAGAGCCCTTTCTGTACCTTGTGCGGCTCATACTTTAAACTTAACAGTAAATGACGCTTCTAAAGTGTCAGATGCTACAATAAACTTTTTTAATCTTGTGCAAGAGTTATATAATTTTTTTCGTCATTCACAAAAGGTGGGATATTCTGAGAAAAAATGTCCCTGGGTTAAGTTTAAAGCCTCTAAGTGAGACAAGATGGTCCAGCAGAATTGATTCAATAAAGCCTCTTAAACTTTATTTAATTAAGGTTTGCTAAAGTCTTCTAGAAGTAGCTGAAGATAATTCCTTTCACATTGATGCAAGACATAAAGCGAGTTCCTTCTTAACGTCTGTACAAAAATTTCAATTTATTTGCGAAATTATTATTTGACATGACGTTTTATTTCACATAAATATTGTCAGGAAACAAATGCAAAATGCTACAATTAATATTAAGGTATGCCAAACCTACCTAAAAAATTTAGTTGATCACTTACATATATATAGCATATTACATATTTTTTTTAAATATCTAAGTATTAGTAGAAAGTAGTCCTTATATATATGTAGACATTAGGCAATGAAAAGCATGAAAGCAGGTAAGGCAGCCGGATATGATAGAGTATCACTCGAAATGCTAAGGGCTGGTGAGGGTGTGGTTGCAGGCCTGCTGTACACCTTATTTAATTTGTGTTGGGAACTGAAGCGGGTACCGGAAGACTGGTGCAAAGCCGTAATAGTCCCAATATATAAGGGAAAGGGGTCGCAGCAGGACTGTAAAAACTACCGTGGTATCAGTTTGCTTAGCATTGTGGGTAAACTATATGCTAAGGTGTTAATTGAAAGAGTTATGGAAGAAACTGATGGAAAAATTTAAGATGTGCAAGCTGGATTTAGAAAGGGGATGGGGTGTACGGATCAAATCTTTTCCATGCGCATGATAGCGGAGAAGTTTTTGGCCAAAAACCAGAAAGTTTTTTGTGCGTTCATGGACTTGGAAAAGGCTTATGACAGAGTGGACAGGAATGTGTTATGGCAAACACTGAACTCATTTGGGTTGAGCGCTGGCTTGATACAGGCATTAAGGTCTCTTTATAGGGACTCTAGTGCTTGTGTCAGGATCAACTGGGTCTACTCGGACTGGTTTGGCATTCATAAAGGTGTCACACAGGGATGTGTGGTTTCCCCGTGGCTGTTTAACCTATTTATGGACAGTTGTTTGCAAACTTTGAAAGTTGAAGAATGTGTGTTGAGAATGGGTGAGTCAACCGTCAAATGCCTTTTGTACGCTGATGATCAAGTCATATTTGCATCGTCGGCGGCCGAGTTGCAAATGATGGTTACTTTAATGAATTGGTCATTGAAAGAAAGGGGTATGAAAGTGAACGCAAGTAAGACGAAAGTGATGGTTTTTGAAAGAGAAGAAAGTAAAACTTTATGTGAAATAAGAATAGAAGGGGAGTTGATTGAGCAAGTGAATGAGTTTGTATATTTGGGATGTTTATTTAGCAGGGATGGTAGATATGATAAGGATATAGAACGACGAGTGAACGCAGGAAATAGACTAAATGGGGCTCTACACGCTATTATGAGGAGTCAGAATGTATCAACTAAGGCACGTATGGCAATTCATAATGCTGTGTTAGTCCCTACTTTAATGTATGGTAGTGAAAGTTGGGTCTGGCAGAAGAAGCATGAGAGTAGAATAAATGCTGTAGAAATGCGGTCCTTAAGGAGTATGCTAGGGCTGAATCAGAATGATAGGGTGAGAAATAGTGTGATAAGACAAAAGTGTGGTTTGCAAGATGACGTTGTGACAAGGATTAAGAAAGGAATGCTTCGGTGGTTTGGTCATGTAGAAAGAATGAACGAGGAAAGAGTGACAAAGCAAATTTATGTTGCAGAAGTGAACGGCAGGGTAGGGAAGGGACGCCCTAGACGAAGGTTTATCGACCATATCGGCGGTACATTAAAAATGGGCCAGATTAGGAGTACCCTTAACCGACGAGCGTGTATGCGTAGATATATGGATGTAAAAGAGGCGAGAGAGGTGTGTCAGGATCGCGCCAAATGGAAATCTGTAGTCTCTGCCTACCCCTCTGGGTGACAGGCGTGAGTGTTTATGTAAGTATGTATGTACATTAGCCAATATTTCTGTTATTTGTTCCTAAAAAAGATGTGATTTTTAGTTTTGGGTTATTTTCTAGTATTTACAAACAACGTGTCTGTACCCCATTAGTTAAGTAAATGCTTTAAAATTGGTGTGAACAAGAATTTAATTTATTTTGTTATGATTTTATTGTTTGTTTCATTTTGATATTTTAGTCTACAAATAAATATGACTTCTAAAGCTCAGTTTTTTGCGTTATTTCAAGCACCTACCTACCTACCTTCATAAAAATAAATAAAAAAACATGATCCAAAATGCCTTAAGGCGCGCCAAAATCCTTTTTTGCACACAGGCGCCCAATATTAAACTATAAAATGTATGCAAATGTCACTACCTATCTCATCGTAAAGACACTCGATCAAATAATAAACGTCGTAAAATCTTTAACTTTTTAAATAAATTTTTTATATATTTTTTTTCTGAAAGTGTATGCTGTTGGCCCTGCGGCCTTAACAGCTTCATCTAATTAGGCTCGTAAGCGAGGACTTACGAACTATTGAGTGGAAAGATTCGCCGAACGAAGCGCCCCTTCGCCGACTGCAGTCCCAAGGGGTGCCTCGGGACTGCAGTCGGCGAAGCGGTCCCTGCTTTCGGAGTGAGGCTCCTCGAGCTAGGGGGGGGGGGGGGGGGAATTCAAGGGCCCCTCAGAAGGAGGTACGAACCTCGGCTTGAATCGCTATCGCAATTTTGTTTACGGGTCGCAAAAATTAGAAACGCCCCGTATCACGGGTGTTGAACCTCGTGTACGAGATGTCTATGATCACGCGTTCGCCGACGAAGGCGGTGTGCCCTAGTTCTGTACTAGAGTAGTGGCTGAGTGTGTGTGTGTGTGTGTGTGTGTGTGTGTGTGTGTGTGTGTGTGTGTGTGTGTGTGTGTGTGTGTGTGTGTGTGTGTATTAATGTTTACTAAACGGGTTCCCTCTCCTGTGGAGGGGGGGGGGGGGGGGGGATAGATTTTTATAGATTCTCTTGTTTCGTCACAACACTGCACATGTTTCTCTATTTCCTATGTTTTCTAGTCAATAGTCTATACATACCTTCCTGGTGCTTACAATAGTACACATCCCCGGCGCAATGATTTACGAAATGTAATAGCTTAGCGTATTTTCCCAATCGCCTGTTAACATTGACGCACACAGGGTTGTATATGTCCGGACACGAGAGCGGGCATACGTGCTGGTCAAAGGCCGTAACGATGCTATACAGGGTGCTCATAGTTGTTTTCGCTGTTGCTGTAAGGTTAATTACTTCACATATTATACATATATTTACACACACACACACTCACTCACACACTCTCTCTCTCTCTCACACACACACATACGTATAAATAATTAATTAAACTTTCACTCACTTACCCTACAGTATTTATAAGTAGACTAGTTCCTATCGTTTGATTGTCCTAACTTTAGAATTTAAGTAATATATAATATTAATATGATTTACCCGTACTGCCTTGTAACATGGATATAGTAATGGAAGGGCGGACCCTCCAAACACAGGCATTATTCGCTTAAATGGAGGTTCCAATCTAATAGTTTCTAAGGCACGTACTTTTTTATATTGAAGTAATATGTACCATGATGTACTAAAAGCGACTTGGATGCTTGCAATACGCGTTAAACTCCGCGGGCTCAAAATCACTTAGTCTGTGCCATAAAAAGTGTGCTCCTTCCACGCGCCCCGCACTACCGCGCGCATTATGTTCGCGGCATCTGTTTTAGTACGTAGTTCATATTACTTTAATGATATTATATGTGACAAATGAGCATACATTTTATTTGTGGTAGAGCCTCACTGCAACTATATTATGGTTATAGTACACGGATGGGCCGGCTCGAACCGGGGTGGTACCACGACCTCACAGAAAACCATCGTGAAGTAAAGGTTTACCTCTGCGTTTCGCTTGGTGAGTGCAGGTGGCCGGAGGGCCTTTTTACTGGAAATGAGGCATTCCATCTTAGTCCTCACGGGTGACAACGCATCTACATTTTGATCTACATTTTGAGTTGTAATAGAGGATAGATGTAGATGTCAATGGGCCGCAGTAACCACTTACCATCAGGTGGACTGTGTGCTCGTTTGTCACCCATATCCTATAAAAAAAAAAGTGGGTCGGCTCAACCGGGGTAGGACCACGCTCCCATAGAACACCAGCGTAAATAGCAGCTTAATACTGTGTTACATATGGTGGAGTGTAGAGAACCGGAGACCCGTTTCACTGAAAACGAGACGTTCTATCTCAGTCGTCAAGAGTGAAATTTCATCTGCATTTTGTTTCTTAATTGAGGATAAATTTAGATGTCTATGGGACACAGTATTCACATACCATAAGGTGAACTGTGTGCTCGTTTGTCACCCTTATTCTACAATAACAAAAACACTTACCAATAATTTTGTTTATACAATTTTAAATAAATATTCATAGCACCAGCATGGTGGCCATTACCTTACTCCCAGGGGTTATTTTCATTCATGTATTCCTTGATATTATAATAACCCTTTTTGTACAGTTTTGCTTTAATAAAACTTTTAAACTTGTTTATTGACAAACTTTGAACCGATAAATGAACGCTGTAGCTCATAAAAACATCTTTTTTCGATTAATAATCAAAATACCGATGTTGTCACCCACGAGGACAAAGATCGAATGCTTCGTTATTAGTAAAAATGGGTCTCTGGTTCTCGGCACTTACCATACGAAACGCAGTAGCACTATGCTGCTATTTCACGCTGATTCTACGTGGTTATTACGTGGTTAGTACTGCAGCTATAGTTATACTATCATCTAGGATTCTAGGACAATATGTCAACTCCAATTATCGCCAACCCATCCGACTAACGTTTGAATAACCAACAACAGTCTAGAGAGCCAGATGTAAAGTTACAGCTTATATACGTCCCATTGCTGGGCACAGGCCGCCTCTTATTACTGTAACGGTTATAGGACAAGGAAATGTCCGCCGCGCTATCCCGATGTTTGCTGGTAGACGTCGCGTGTTCGAAATCATTTATTTTTTATTATTTTTCAGACATGCAACATGTCATACAATGTTTTCCTTCTCCGCTGTACATAATATGGTAAAACATCACTTAAAATTACAATTAACAATTTTAATGGTAATGATGAATATACCGAATGGTGATAGAACTCGGATCGCTCGAACGGTGTAAAATTTACGGCTAGAAAGCTAGATGAGTGTTAGAGAAATATTTAAAGAAAAAACATAGCGATGCTTACATCTAAATTAAATTCCTTTAAAAATGTGTAACAAACTTCATATGGACTAACTGTCATAATAGACGAACTATGGTGATAAAAGAATTGACTTCTTACTGGCAGCGCTTTCTGCCGCAACAACCTTTTCTCGAAAGTGGAGTGTTCAAGACAACTAACATCAGTCTAGACTCTAGAGAGCCAGAGAATCTAAGGTAAATAGAAATCCATCTCTACATGCTCAGGAGAACAATATTTTTCATAATGTTTTTTTTTAAATCAAATTTCAAAAAAATTTATTACAATAATGTAAAAAAAGCAGTTTATAGTCCAACATGTTTGTCATCAATAATTCTGTACCTGTTTGTGATGAGAAAATAAATATAAAATCTATTCTATTCTATTCCTTTAAAAAAAAAAACAAGAAATTGAGTGGGTAAATACTGGAATAATGATATCCTTACATGTTCCATTCTTAGCATCTGCAACTGGTCCATTACGTAAGGTGTTTCTTCGCGAATTATTGTACTGCTCGCAACTACCGCTGGTCACTATGGCAAATTCTGGAAGACGAAATAGTAATTGGAATTTTTATATGTGATAGAGCCATGCTGAAGCTGTAGTATGGTTGTAGTGGCGGCGCGCGCCACAAGTGAAACACGTCGAAGCCTAAATCGCGCCAACAAAGTTCTGAAGTTAAAGCAGTATATATAGAATAGCTCCGAACTACCACTCGGAGTGTTGGCCGCTCCCCGCGCAGAACACCTAGCCCGGCGGGAGATCTCCTCTTTTCCTTCCACCCTCCACAGTAGCACGAATGGGTCGGCTCCGCCGGGGAAGGATTACGCCCTCACAGAATACCAACGTTAAATAGCAGCAGCAGTAAAGAACCGGAGACCTTTTTTACTGGAAACGAAGCATTTCACTTTAGTCCGGGGATGACAACGTATCTACATTTTGATTCTTAATCGAGGATAGATGTATGGGCCACGGCATTCACTTACCATCAGGTGGACTGTGTGCTCGTTTGTCACCCTTATTCTATAATAACCGCTGGCACGATTTACAAAATACAAGTTGATTATTTTAGTAAGGTTCTTTTGTCTCTCAAACTTATTGTAGTTTTTTTCATACCAGTCGCTATTACAACATACCTTTGCCCGGATTCTCGCACATGTTATTATAAAATAAATAGCAAGCATTTTCAAAATCTTTGTATTGTTTGTTTTTGTCCACGAAGCGTACGGCGCATAAGTTAGTACCATCATTTCTACATATTTTGTCTCTATTCAGACACATGAGCTTTATGTGTGCATAGTTCAAGTGAGAATCAACAGCGGAATCTTCCTTTATTTCTGGCAATTTTATTTCAACACTTTTTGTATTAACAAAATGAACAATTATAGGAAACAGCGACAGTAAATTCGAAAGTCTAATCATGATTGTGCTGTGTCATAATTAATGTTCAGTAGCACTGGCGTGGCAGTTAGATATGCCAATTAACTTCTGTAATTAAAAATTATTCGAAATTATTTCGTATTTATATTGATATCTTGATTCTTGTAAGATTTTGTTTTTTATTTCAGTCCTATTTTTTTTTGGCTTTTTTTATATGGTTACGCCATTGTGACAACGGGCTGTTCCCTCTTGGGCCAGTCAATGTTCACTGTGATCAGTCTGCTTTTTATAGCTTGACTGGTAGATAACGCCTTAAGGCGTTAGATCCGCCTTTGTACTTTTTTGTACAGCAAAGTTTAAATAAGTAAATAATATATATATATATATATATATGTATATATATATATATATATATATATATATATATATATATATATATATATATTCAACCCTTAAGGGGTGTAATAGGGTTTATACATGTTTTTTTTATGTTTTTGTTCATGCACCTTATGCATGTTTTTATAAGTTGAGAGTATGAACCAATATTCATATTTAGATTAATTGCTTAGTAAAAGCCCTGAATACTGTTGCGCGCCACAATTAATGTCTTGTACATGGCAACACTAGTTACCACTAGCGCCCTCTAGTGTCGAGTAGCAGAACTAGGAGAGACAAGATCCTTCTAGAAATTTTCCAAGAGGCCATATATAAGGCCAGTAGAGACCACGATCAAGGCAGTATTGAATTAGCGATACAAGCGAATACTTCGAAGTGAAATAACTGCGAACTAAAGTGATCAGTAGTACAATTGTGTTTTATTATTAGTGTGGTTTTAAATTGTAATTAGTGTTCTGCAATTAGTGTCAATGTCGGTAATTCAATCGGCAGTTTTTAATTGTGTCGTACCCCAAGCTCGTAACAATACTTAATAGTTATAACTTGCAATACCGATATCAGTACAGGGACGCCGATTCCTCTTTTGTCTCATGTGTTGTCTGGTTTAACTTGGTCAGTAAGCTTACCAAAGATAATAAATACAGCAAGTCATTAAAATTTAAAAAAATCGCATAAGAAACCTTTTTATGTTCATCATCGCAATCACCTACATCATTCATCACAGACTCCCAGAAATCCACTGTTGATTATAGACCGTTCCATAGGTTGTTTCATAGCGGAGATTTTTGCCTTAGTTCCCATGCTTTGCAAGCAGGCTGGCAACCGCAGTTTTTTATTTTTTGTCGTTATTAGAAAGACGCTGCTGTCCATCTCCTGGTTTGTTTCCCTCTGTCGCCTCTCACGACACCCACGGTATATAAGGGTAGGTAGGTATGATAAGGGGTAGTGGATATTCTTACACCGCCACTACACGGTCATTGCACAACAGAAATGATATTTGTAAAAGAAAACTTTTTAAATAAAAGACAAAAATATCACATCAAACTTTTTTTATTAAACAAAGAAAGAAGATAAATTGTAAATAGTTTACTCAAATTTATTTATTTATTTATTTATGTACACCAAGTACAAAAAGGCGGACTTAATGCAACAGGGCATTCTCTACCAGTCTACCTCCAGGGTAAGCAGAAAAAATATTGTGGGTGCAAAGTGCAAACAGCTAAGTAAATTACATCTATGTCTACATATTACATATAATATATATATATATATATATATAAATACATACATACAAATATTTACTTAATACTACTCATTATACATACATATATATCTAGGTATATATATGTTCATTATGTAACCATTTATATACCAAAATGAACTTAACAAAACATAGACTCTTATGACACTAAAGTTTATTCAAAATGACCTCCGTGATTTTGAATACAGGCCTTCAATCTGCGCGGCCAGTCGTCTATCGCAGCACGAACGAGGTCCATGTCAATATCGGCGGCTGCCTTAATCAAGTATGTCTTGAGTGACTCCAAATTGGGATGAGGCTTTGAGCACGCCTTTTCCTCCAAGTGTTGCCATATCTTGTAATCTAACGGATTCAAATCTGGACTTGTGGAGGGCCAGTCTTCGTGCCGGATGAAGTCGATTTCACGCGCCGCCAGCCAGTCTTGTGTGCTCTTCGCTCTATGAGCTGGCGCCGAATCTTGTTGGAATACCCAGTGCCTGTTATTGAACATGGTATGAGAAACAGGTTCCACAAGGTTCGTCAGGACTGTATTTTGATACACAACTGCATTCGTTTTTACACCTTTCTCACAAAAATATACCTATGTTAAGCCCCAATAAGAAACTCCCAACCATACCATGAGTGAGGATGGAAAATGACCTCGTGTGACACGCGGAACACGGTTGCTCGCTTCTTCACTACTTTGTGCGTACACCTTATCATTTTGTTTTTTGTAGCTCTCTTCTACGGTAAAAATTTTTTCATCCGAAAAAAGAATTTCCCGATATTTTTTTTCCCGCGTACCGCTTCAACAAAGCGCGGCATCTCTTCAGTCTCAGGTCCATTAGACGAGCATTCAAACGATGTCTTGTTTTTCTTCGATATGCCCAAAGCCCTAAGTCTTCATTTAACACCCTTTTCACCGTGGTTCTGCTTAACCCCATCTGAAGGGCCAACAGTTTCTGCTTACGTTTGGGATTTCTTTGAATTCGCGCCTTCACAGCTTTTATCACTGCTGGAGTCCTAACAGACCGAGGGCGACCACTTCTTGACCTGTCATCTACACTAGAGTCTTCATTGTATCGTTTGATGGTACGATAAACGAATCTTTTGGTTATATTCAAATTTATCAGTATGTCAAAAATTTGAATTGGCGCGTAACCGCAACGATGCAACGCAATAACTGCAACACGGTCTTCTTTAAGTGTCCACTCCATATTTAAAAATGAGTAAAATTCTAAAAAGTATACAGTTTTATTTTCATGAACAATTCGAAATTCGAATTCAATAAACTTTATTGTGGCCAGTATTCTAAAAGAAAAGTTTTTATTGTGTGACAATACTTATGACCTGACTAGGTATATATATATATAAATAATTAAATATAGCAGTTTCTGATTCAAGCTCCAATAACAAATGTAAAAATGAAATGGAAAACCACAAACTACTCCTGCAACGTTAGATAGTAATTCCAAAGCAAGCGTTTGAACGATGCCTTGCTCGTGGCTGCGCGTACACTGACCGGTAACTCGTTCCATAATCTACTTGTTGAATAGCATTTCTTTTTACAAATACTAGAACAGTAATCAGACGGCCGTGTTTTTACGTAACGGGTAATTTTGATGGTGATGATACCGCCGCCGATGATGTAGTTGCAATATGTCTGCGCTTAGTGGTGTTACGATATGATCTCAGACCAATGCCAGCACTGGCTTGAAATCTTCCATCCATGTGTCGTTAATTGCCAAGTACTCAGATCGGTTGATGATGGAATCGGTAGAGATGTTTTCTGAGTGCGCAACCAAGCTTCGTGCATTAACGGCGGCGATAAGTATAAAACCACGCTGATCGGGAGCATAAATACAAAACTTTTTTACAACAACACACACACACACACACAAACACTCACGCCTGTCACCCAGAGGGGTAGGCAGAGACTACGGTATTTCATTTGGCGCGATCCTGACACACCTCTCTCGCCTCCTTTACATCCATATATCTACGCATACACGCTCGTCGGTTAAGGGTACTCTTAATCTGGCCCATTTTCAATATATCACCGAATTGGGCGATAAATCTTCGTCTAGGGCGTCCATTCCCGACTCTGCCGTTCACTTCTGCAACATAAATTTGCTTTGCCAGACCCAACTTTCACTACCATACATTAAAGTAGGGACTCACAGCATTATAAATTGCCATATGTGTCTTCTTTGACACATTCTGACTCTTCATAATAGCGTGTAGAGCCCCATTCACTCTATTTCCTGCGTTCACTCGTCGTTCTATATCCTTATCATATCTACCATCCCTGCTAAATAAACATCCCAAATATACAAACTCATCCACTTGCTCAATCAACTCCCCTTCTATTCTTACTTTTTTTACTTGTGCGACTAGAGTCGGCAGCCTGTCTGTTAACTCTGCAAGTGGCACTGCTTCACTGAGCAACTCTACTTAATTTAACACACCAATCGCGCCGTTCACTTTGGCATCCTCAACGTCAATGTTAGTTGTAATAATGTAAGGGTAACCCACTGCAAGCGGAATCTTATAAGGCAGTCTACCTAACTCGACGACACTCATATCGTGAAGCTTTTGCCGGGATGTAGCAGCTCCAGTGTGATTCTTGTAGCCGATTAATGTCGTCGGCACAGCTGTACCTATGCCTCTTTTTTTATAGGGTAAGGGTGACGAACGAGCACACAGTTCACCTGATGGTAAGTGGTTGCTGTGGCCCATAGACATCTACATTTATCCTCGATTACGAATCAAAATGTAGATGCGTTGTCACACTCACCATACAAAACACAGCAGCATTAAGCTGCTATTTTACGCTGGTATTCTGTGAGAGCGTGGTACTTCCCCGGTCGAGCCGACCCATTCGTGTTACAACTATACCAGAAATATAGCTGCAGCATGGCTCTACCACGTATAAAACGTCTCTGTCACGATAGTACTGTTGTTCTGGGAAGGTATTACTAAGCAGCGGTAAGTGTGTTTTCTTTGGTGGCTTCAATGAGCGTAGAAACCATAGACGGTCACACACATCACACTTATGTCCGAATGGATTGTTGAAAAAAGTAGTAAGAAAGAGTGCACGTTCATAGTCGGCAATCGCACACAATCTGGCATCCACTTGCAAAGGCTCGGCCACAGCTGCAGATGTACTGGCGGTGTCGTTGATCCGCTCCGACGCCTTCATTATTTAACGCTCCCCACACCGCTCCTCTCTATCATATGGTGTTTAATCGGTATCACTGGATTGGTCTTAAGAAGCCCTTTCCAACCGTATACGATTTATATATTTTGATTTGGCTTTTTGACGAGTATAGACCAACATTGCATTTTTTTTTACCTTAACATCAAATATCAATATATTCACTAAACTTATAGCATACAAATGATTTATTTATGCAATCGATAGATCTATATACCTTACGATTACAACTCAAACGAACGCCTTAGCTTCTCCAACTGGTGCAACTTCCATAGTAAAAATTATATGTACTACAGGGGTCAAATTTTAATGACGGTTACTCTTCTTTATTCTTTTCGTGATATGTCTATTAACGACATTGTCAAATGAAATAGGTTCAAATTTCGAATCAAACAATTATATTTGTATATATTTTATTAATTAAGATTGCTTTTAATTTTGCTATAGGAGCCGTTGTTCATTTACAGAATTGTTAAGAAATTAAATATGCATCATAAAACTTTCCAATTAAATGGTGCAAGAAGCGGAAAAAATGATAACAAGAAAAGGCTATTCGTAACAATTTTTCTCTTAGATGATGAAAGCTATGTGGTGATTTCAACTTTAATAGTAATATGATATTCAACGCGAGTATATTTTTGGACTAGCCATCTATGTAGGACATGTTTTTATAGTGTACGATTGTGTGCACAAAAACAAACACACTATCATTGAGATATAATGTACTACGTACTAGAGAAGCTATTCCGAACAAAAAATGTGCACTACTCTATGTCTTCGCGCATGCGCGGTAAATAGTACAGTCGCGCATGCGCGGTTTTTGTCATCATAGATTATTTACGTAGGTAGAATGATCAGTATGTAATAAGTAAATGTTTATTTAGATTGTATTGTAAATTGTATCGAGTACAATTTTTTAAATTGTTATTTATATTGCATAATGTGTTAATATAATATAACATAATATTATGTCAGAATTACATTTTAATTATATTTTATTTAATACTTTAAAAGGTAAATATTATGTAGAATATAAAAATATGCATTTATTTTCAAAGATCATTATTATTACTTTTATAGCATTCTCTAACGTATTTATACGCAGCTGGTGAATAATAGTGTAAAATCAATGCAAATTTACGTAAAGGTGCATGCAGTGTATAATTAATAATGCGTGCTCTGTTTATTCTTTTTCGTTAAAGATTTATGTTATTCCATAACTTTTGCTTTAACCATTAAATCAATCTCAGCATTTAAGTTGAGACCGAATTTATGTTTCAAATTTTCTACCATCGATTTGTAAGAAGCACATTTTTTCTTTAGATAAATATTTTGTCTTAAATTTCTCAGTAAGTTTCTTTCTAGCTGCAGATTCCTTGCTATTAAATACAAACACAATATTACAACGTGCTTATATTTTATTCTTTTTATAATAACTTAGAATTATTGATTCCGTTATTAAGGTAGAACTATATTTAAAAGCTTAGGACATCACTCATACTTAGCTTAGGAGACATCACTTGCGTAATTTATTTTTAAGTACAATTTTGCTCGGACTATCTAAAATTGAATTTGTACTGCTTATTGATTCAGACAACGGTTTTGATACTTCCTGTTCACCACATTTTGTTGGCTGAAAAAAAGATACTAGTTATTTGGGAAGCCTGCAAAAATTCTAGTGTTACAGTATTAAAAAAACCGTCATTTACTAGAATGACTCGCGCGTCGAGGTTTCCGCCTCTCTTAAGTCCCGTAAATACTGAACTGATATTGAACATTACAAAACATTCGTTCGTCGTCTAATCAAAAAATAAAACATAAATCCCAGCAATGTTACATAATTATATAATTACATTGTCGAATGGTACTGTTTATTTCTTGAAGTACACTCTTCCTGTTTTTGCGGTGTATTTGTCATTTTTTTTTTTTGAACTGCACGGAAAATATGCGTGAATAATCTGATGTTTCTTCGCTGCAATTCTTCTGAACCAATTTGATCCATGATTATTTTGTTTCATGACACAGCCGAGGAAACCATTAAATAAAAATAATAATAAAAAATATTAATTTTAATTAACATTTCCTACAGTGATTATATATAAATATTTTACTGTTCATAATTACTTAACATTATACGTCGATAGTGTCAAGTCTGCGCATAAAAATGTATTACTCTTTGACATTCACGTATACGTTGCAGTTGATAAAATATAATTAAATTAAGCGTGTTTTAAAGATAATAATATGTTTAAATTACTGGTGAAAATTCACTCCTTGACTTTACCTTATATTTC